CTCCATAATATTATATTGCAGCTCACAAGTCAAATGTTGTGGCTGCATTAGTTTTATATTTTCAGGCTTTTCCCCTTTGTTCTTATCTGGTGACCCTGCCAGTAATACACTTCCTGTCCTAGAATAAACAAGACTAATCATACTGTATCTATGGAGGAGCAGTGTTATCGCCCTAAGTGCCTCACCTGATTTGGACTACTAACCACCCCCCCCCCCCCTTTTCCTCATCTCCATCATAACAAGGGGGTGTTCTGTACTTCACAGAAGTGATAGAAGAAGGCTAATAACATTGTTTAAAATATATCTAAAACCAAAAATGTTTTTTACTATTTTGGATAGAGTGGGGGCGGGTTAAAACTGCTGGCAGGTTTTGTTTTGTTTTTTTTTGCCATCTGTTATTCATTGGGGAGACTTCCCTTCATTTCCTGTACTGTAGACTCAACAGAAAGTGAGTATATTCTCCCAATGTGAGAACAAGTGTCCCCCAAGCTGGATTTAAATACACCAACATGAAAATGTTATGTCCTGTGGGCCATATCCGGCCCTTTGTCTGTCCTTGTTTGGCCAGTGGTCCAGACACGGACCGATCGCCGACTTGTGCTCCAAGGCCAGTGCATCCACTGCAAGCCATAGCCCAGTGCAGGTTGGTGATGTATCTGCATCTGGACCGCGTTCCTGTTTAGTCATAGGTTGCTAGGACCGTTGACGTCCTAGCGACCAATGATGTGAGGGGTCCTCCTCTGCAGTTATTGGTTGCTAGGACCACTTGACGGTCCTTGCAACCAATGATGTGAGGGGTCCTCCTCCTCTGCAGCTATTTTTCTAGATCCGCTGGCCAGTCCTAACAACCAGTGACAAATGTCTTCCCACCCCCAGCAATACGGACGTCCTCCTGTGTCTGCCCTGTAATGCAGCTCCTGGTGGTGTCTTACTCTCCTGCAGCTCCCACCTGTGGCCTGTCAAAAAAAATGAGCACACAGTAGGTGTGTTGCACGATACTATCGGACCCCATTGGAAAAGTATTACATATGCTCCCTTGAAAGGGCACAAGTCTAACAAACCATACAAAGCAACAAAGAAGCCACACAAAAAAACCTTACATTTTCAACATGGACTGGGTAGAAATGGTTATGGCCAAGGGAGAATAAGCACAAATGCCCTATCTGCAATGCTTGTGTTGAACAATACCTATACATTTAGTCACATTTCTAATTCGTTGGCTATATCACTCTGTACTAGTATCATAGGCTTTGAAAATGTGTGTAAAAGACTCATAAAACTTATGTACATGTCTATTGATGTGTTTTACAAGGGATGCAATTAATTTCCATGGAGCCTTACCATGCTTGTAAAATGCAGCAAGATGTACTTCACAATAAACAGTAAAATCAGGACAATGTACCCAGCAAGAGCGAGTCCAGAAGTATGAGAAAGCTTTAATGTATCTTTATCTAAAGACACAAAATCCACCATGTAGAACTAATTCCGGACTCAACAATGAGCCCACATAGTTTTACATTTTCTCCATGCAATGGTACTGCTATTTCTGTTCGGCAATGTTTGCACCATGTATTTGTTAAAACATCTGCTTTGTTGTTGTTATTATTATACAGGATTTATATTGTGCCAACAGTTTGGGCAACACTTTACAACATATGGGGAGACAATACAATTACTATACAATACCATACAAAAAGAGTAGAAAGACCCCGCTCGTGTGAGCTTACAATCTACAAGGAGGGGCAAGTGATACAGACGGTAGTAACTTTTAGGGTTGAGCTGGTTGATGGAGTATAGGTTCAGTTTTCAAGAGGAGGTGGAATAGGTTTCCCTTAACAGGTGAGTTTTCAGGGTTTGGCTAAAGGGAGTTCCAGAGGATGGGAGTGGCTCTGGAGAAGACCTGGTGGTGTGCGTTGGAGGGTTTGATGGGGAAGCTAGACAGCAGGAGGTCTTGGGAGGAGTTGAGAGAACGATATGGATGATGTCTTGAGATGAGTTTGGAGTGTAGCTGGGAGCAGAGTTGAAGATGGCTTAGTATGTTGTGGTTAGTATTTTGAATTTTATGTGCTATTGGATGCCAGGGGAGGGACAAAGCTCCTGTACACTCTGGTAGTGGGGGAACTTGCACAGCTTTCCACCTCCACAATGACATACTAGGAATGATCAACACAATTTGTTTTTTGCTCTCTCCCAAACCTGTTTTAAGAGAGCCAGTCAGCAAGAATCTGACTCTCAACCCTAATTTTTATAATAGTATAACATGACCTCTCAAGGGTAGGTGTGTGCTATTATTCACTTGTATTCTCTCTTTGTCAGAACAGAAATGTGAACCCAGTAACCACTGAAGATGTCAACAAGCTGTAAGGCCACAATGGAGTCTGGGGTGTCTGCTGCCCTGATCTCAGGGTTAATAACTGACACTTCAGTCAACCAGTGGCAACTCAAGGAAAGAGATGTACTACATACTGGGACTTTGTCACATTTCTGAAATGTCATCCAACATTTCAAAGATGATATATGAGGTGCTATGTGTTGAAATAAATCCACTGTAGTGAAACTTTTCATTGCAAATCCTAGTTCTATGATGACCTCTGCGTGTAGGAGTAATGGGCATTTGCTAAAAGGCGACTGAGGACTCTGCTGTGAAGGTTGGACTGAGGACTCTGCTGTGAAGGTGGGACTGAGGACTCTGCTGTGAAGGTGGGACTGAGGACTCTGCTGTGAAGGTGGGACTGAGGACTCTGCTGTGAAGGTGGGACTGAGGACTCTGCTGTGAAGGTGGGACTGAGGACTCTGCTGTGAAGGGGGGACTGAAGACTTTGCTGTGAAGGGGGGACTGAGGATGCTGCTGTGAAAAAGAAACTGAGAACTCTGCTGTGAAAGGGGCACAGGGGACTCTGCTGTGGAAGGGAGACTGAGGACTTTGATTTGAAAGGGGGGGGGGGGG